GTACATTTTCTCTCAAGTTTGAAGCTAATTCAACTTTGTTGAATATAACAAAAAATCCATACTTAATTTAGAATTTTAGATTTTAAGATATTATAACATAAATATCTATATTAAAGAAGTTAAACCGTTCAAATTTACACCATGAGAATCTTATAATCTTCTGCATTGTCACAACTCATAAAGTGCACTTCTTTCTTTTCTTTTTCTTTTTCTTTTTTTTTTTTAAAAAAACATCGAAAACGTAACTCTTTTCACACTAAATCTTTGTATGTATAAACATTTTGGGCAGTATATTTTGGGAAAGGATACCCTTATTTTACCCAACTCCAAAGAGGATAAAATAAACACATATCATAATAGTATTTTCCCAACAAAAAAGATTGCTTGTATTTGTATTTTGCTCTAATTGGTGGTGGCAAAAAAGGGTGGATCTGATGTGGGATGAGCCCACTAGAGGATGAGGAAGAGGATTCTATATTAGATTTTGGTTGCCTATAATGACATTCATTACTACTTATACACTATTGTTGTGGTTGTCACATCTTGATGTTAGTAGAATTTGTCTTTTAGGATGGTAGCATTTCATAGCTAGGAATGAATTTCTTGCAAATTGCATTATATATTTTAATGTATTATATTGTTTGATGGAACTCATATTTGTTTCTTTTTGTTTGTTTTCAAACCAAATGAAATGAACTTATTGCCAACCCAATTATTGCACAATGCGACACTTAAAAACAACTCATAATGAGCATATTATGACACAAATTCTTGTGACAAAATGTTGAATCGTCTACTCCAGGCGCCTTCACACGTCGACTTGACAGTTTGCGGAGGACTAGTAAACTATGATGACTCAACTGACCAACACATGCTAGATTTTTGCTCACTGCGCACAAGGAGCCCCTCATTTTGAGAGGTTGCTCCCACACTGCCGCTAGTGAGACTCGAACATTGGTTTCTTATGACAAATTTCACCTCTGCGATCAGTTAAGTTGTCCAAGCGGGCATAAATTCTTGATTTAAGGGAAAGTACGTAGTTGATAACTGAATGGACGGTTTAGGTGAAACCCGCCTTGTGACCTTAGTCGTCAGCAAAGGATCACAAGAAGGTAAACTGCCAGCTTAAGTTGCCCATTGTCAACTCAAACCTAGGAGGTCATTGTAGTTACCAAGCAATTGTTTGACCATATTATCTTACATGTAAGTATGTAACAAAGTATAATCATATTATCTTTTCACTTACATTTAAAAAAAAAAAAATCTAAATTTTCGCGACATAATGTTTATTTCTCTTGTTAAGTTTTTTGTTTGTTTGTTTATTTGTTTTAAAGGTGAAAGAGCATTCTCACATGAGAGTCCTATTATTAAAATTAGAAGAAACTCACGACAACTCGTCTAAGCTTCAATTGGTATTTATGTTGTTAAGTTTGGCAATCAAATTGATAATTTTTGTAATTGTTACTCCGTATTATTTTGTTTCCTTCCCCTTTTTAAGCTCTCTTTCAAGCACGGCATGCATGAGAATGTGAGAGATCATATTCATAGCATTTGGTCAAAAAGTGAAGTTTATTAATTGGTGCACTGTCAAGTGTGAACGGAACATGGACAACAAAGTAAAAAAGGTACAAGCAGTAAATAAATAGGTGTAATGAGTTAACTAAACCCTTTTTAACAGAAAATAATAATAATATATTCCATAATACTAATAAAATTGAACGATTAACTTAGTAACCATAACGTTCCAAATTTAACTTTCTATGATAATTACCTATTAACATTCTCAGTTTGAGCCAGATAGCAATGGACAACCTAAGTTGATTTATATCTTTATAGTCCTTTACTCGCTATGATCACAAGGCAAGTTCCACTTAAAGCACACCTTTGTGTAATGACGGTGTAAATTTTCATAAATCAAAGTATATAATAAATATGAATAAACATGTACAATATTTTTCACGTCAATAATTTAAGGACATAAATGCAACATCTTTGCCTTAAAAGCATGTACTTTACAACATCAAGATTGTGTGTTCTTTTTGGATTCCTTTTCTTCTTACATGGAATGATGGGAAGAAAGGAAAAGGTATACATCGAATCAATTTAAATCAAACCAAACCAAACAACGAATAACATTTACAAACAATATGGTTCATAAAAAAGATACAACAAAATGATGAATGATCATGGTGAATAACTATCGAAGTGCAAAGGCATTAAATAATGCCACCAATTAATCAAGATTAAAAAAAATTCTCTTATTTTTGTTTTGGAAGATTGAATTTTTTACTACCATGAATAGAGGACTATTGACATAGGATAGAAGATTTAAAATAAAAAATAAAAAAAAAAAAATTGAAAGAGAAAAACAGTACTCTTGAGCCAACACCCCACCCCCTCTTTTCCTTAAACTTCTCCTATAATGTTTATGTGGTTGGATTCTTCTTCCTCTTCAAGAAATTTTTTTTTTCTTGTGTCTTTTTGTATACAACTTTATCTAGCAAAAGCAGAGCTTAAAATACTAACTACCCTTTCTTTCCAGGGATTCTCTACGAGGGAGAGTATATATTCCAAGAAACCTTTTTTGAGCAAAAAGAGAACATGATAAGTGGTAAAAAAAAGTGGTGACCTTTGCATAGTTGTAAATATAAAGGTAAATGCTTTTAAATTCGGATGATTAATACTCTTGGATGTGTATAATAGGTTTTGAACTCTGAGTCAAGCCTTACTCCTCAGGTAAGAGTGAAACTCTATGAATATAACCCAAATTAAATCAAGATTAATTTTACAATGGTAGAAATACCATATTTTATATGCCCAAAAAAAAAAAAAACCCTTTTCTTAACAAACTTTCACACAATCCAAACAAGAAACAAGGGCAAATTATATTATGAATCATGATCTACATTGTAATAAAGATCACTATAAATGTTTATTTTCAATATACTAAATATTCATTTTCTTCTCCCATAAAGGTTGAATCCTCAACCTCAAGTGCCCCCAACACCTCAGCCCCATAGATCCCTTGTGAGAAGAACCAAAATTGAAGGTAAACTATCAGTACATTAAAAATGAGTATTTGGTATACTGAATAGTCATTTTTAGTATATTAAATGTTCATTTTTTGAAATGAGTATTTAGTGCATGCACGGACTTAGCTTACTAGTTCAGTAGACAGTATTTGAGAGAAGAAATCAAAATTCGAAGTAGTGTGGGGATTATGCCCTAAGTAGGCAGACCCCTTGTGAGAAGATATAAAACATAGTGACTCAATGCCAGTGCACACAATGGATCTACCCACTTAGGGCATAATCCCCACGCTACTTCGAACCTTGGTTTCTTCTCCCAAATACTGTCTACTGAACTAGTGAGCTAAGCTCGTGCAGGCACTAAATACTCATTTTTAATGTACAAATAGTTTACCTTCAAAAAATGAACATTTAATATACTAAAATAAATATTCAGTATACTAAAAACGAACTTGATTTCAATGGCTTAAAGTATATGATTGAGAATAAGAGGCTTTTGCAACCTTCAATTTTGGTTCTATCGTTATTTGGGTGGTTGGACAAGATATTAGTAAATGAGCAAGTAGGTGAAAATGTTTTCATCAATTCCAAAGAAGAAAAGCACAATGGAGTGTGAAGACAGCTTTTACTCCACCGGCCAATTCAGTATGTAACTCATATAATATCACAATTGGAGCTAGGAGACAAAGACTCCAACTAATCTTGTTTGCTCATTTTCTCACAACAACAACAGTGAGTAATCAAACTCAAAGATCTTCTGCCCTAAAGAGTAAGTAAGCCAAACTGCCAGAGGGCATCCCAGAATTTGGGGAATTCATCAGAGACCAAACACACACTAGATGGCAGAAAACAGATACTACCAAGGAGGAATAGTAGTAGTAGTAGTAAGTAGTAAAAAAAGTCATACTAGGCTGCAATCCTTAGAAAAACCATGTAACCATCTTCTCCTAAAAAGGTACAAATTAAAGGGTGGGGGTGGGGGGCAGTTTCACACATACCTATTTCATCAGCAGCAATATATTATTCCATCTTACCATTGGTGAAACAACTTTTCTCTCTCTCATGTGGTCCTAGCCACCACTTTATTTCACTGTCATCCAAGATGCTGAAACAAGTTCCCCTCCTATCCAAAACCCTGCCATTGAGCCTTGGCGGAGGAGGTAAATACAAATGTGGGAGTCGAGCTACAAGGATTGCACTAAGCAAAGCATGGGCATTTAACATATAATAAAATGTTTCGCTATTTCACTGCATTGAATTTCATGCTCCCTGTACCAAATTACGTGCCACTAACATACCAAAACCGACAAGGAAAACAACAGTAATAATAACTCAATATTTTGAGCAAGGTAGGTTGTGTGGCTAATGAGGGTGCATTGATTAGGGTATCTACCAATGCGGTGGGTATTATGGTCAAATTGACAAAATGCAAAAGAACAAAAGGTTGAGCAAAGTGATATGTAAAGGAGGAGGAGGAGGAGACCACCCATACACAAGACCAAAGGCCCCATGAGATGACACAACCTTGTGCTGTGTAAGGGGTCCCCACCATGTTTTATTTGCTAAACAGCTTGCAAAAGGATGGATTTCTCCCTATAAGTCAAACAAAGAATAAATAGAGCTATGTAACTGGTCGACACCCATATAGCTTTAGGCTTTAAGTACCTGATCTTCTGGTTCATACATGTAAAAGTAGAATCTATGCATCACACAGATGAGAATAAAAAACTTCAAAAACAGGTAACAGCACATTCTTCAAGAGGATGTTGCAGAGGAGGTGCCTATCAAAGGCTGGACATTAGGGAAACCAAATTCCTTGAACATACCCTGAAGCACGGTCAACAATCCAGTAATATGGTCAGGATTCCATGCATAAATAAATGTCGGAAAATTCAATAAAAATATGCTAAATGCATACCAGCAAGTCTTTGATTGCATACACAACACAGTAGTGCTCCTGAAAGAATGCAATTGCAGGATAACTAATCAAAAGTCATTTTTATAAACAATCTCAGTTAAGTTTAAATTTCATGACTTTGGGCTAAAGCTGCACACTATTACTGTGAAGTTGTCAACATATCTCTGAATTTATAGCCTGGTTTTTAGGTGCATTTAATTGGGGATGGTGTAGATGGTATTTGAACACCGATCTAATACCTGGAAAGGTAAAATGACTTACCACCAAGCAAAACCTAAAAATATAACCTAGCAAGAGAAAAAATAACCCTTCGGGTAAAATTTACATAATTGGGACCACAAGATGACTGGCATAATTTTACTTCCTCTCTCTCCCTCGGCCAATAAAGTCTCATATTATATTGTAATCCTTAGAAATCCAATTCCTTTAATCATATCATCTAAAGCAATTTAGTCTTGAATGGAGGCCTACACACAGAAATATAATGTGTCAAGCAGTTTAGATGCATGATCCATGCCAGAGTTAAAGGCTACAGAGGATACAGAATATGCTTTTTGCGTGAATCAAAATGGTTGATATTATGCCACAACACTAATTTTATAGTTTCAAGATTAGAGAAGACATGAACAATCCATTGTCCAGCAGTATACGGTTTTAAGGTTAGGAGGAATAAGGTGATATCATTATACTAGACAAATGAGAGTCCGCATGCGCATTGCCTGCAATCCGTATAATAAGATATGGGACCAGCAAATTACTCCTGCTTTTTCCTAAGAGGAGAATTACCTGCATCATGTGCCACTCTTCAAACTCATCGAACAATTCCAATCTTTCAATCCTAATATATAGAATATTACATATGAGAATCAGAACATCTCTAAAGTTACAAAGCTTCCCAGTGAAAAGAGAGAGAGAGAGAGAAACATAACACTACAAAAGTAAATATAGTGTAAAAGCTAATCAAAAAATAAGGCAGATGTTTATCTCAGAACAAGAAAATATTTGGAACTTCAAAAGTATTGCCTATATCCACAGAGAACATGTGTACAATACAAAATTCTCCACTAATAAGATAAAATGAGCAATGAGATAAATATGCCAAGTTGCCAACAAATTTTCCTTAATAGTTTTGACTATAAGCATAACATTTTATAGTAGACATGCCAATTTCTAATTATCGACCATGCATTAAGTAGGTAATACTCATTTAGCATTTTAGCATAGCACTTCCAATACTAGTAATAGCATATGGCAATCATCATACTCTAAGTCTCTAACCATAATCAGCTGTGTGAGAGCCATACTGTTTTAAAACATCTTACATTCCATGATGTTATAAGGAACTTACGTGCGTCTTTCTTGAGCTTCCACAAAATCAGTATAAACTCGTAACATATCCCAACCAACAGCTTTCTGGAAGCACCCAAAAACATCAATTGTCCATGTAATGGAGGCATACAAATAGGAGAAATATGTTCTTTTGTGGGGGGTGGGGGGGGGGGGGGTGCGGAATGGTGATGGTAGGGGCACAACTAAATTGAGGAGTTTCAGAGTACCTGCCATCCCTGATCAAGGAAAAGTTTTTCTTTTGCTTCTAGAGTAGGTGTAGCATAAATTCCTAATAATGCACAGCCTCGAGTCTGGCATGAAAAGTAAAAATAAGTTTCTTCAGATCTGATTACTAAATGTATACAACTTTGTCATTTCAGAAGTGCCAGGAAACTATCTAATTTGAGCCAGAAATTTAAAGTCCTACTGAAATTTCAGGAATTTGATTAACTAAATCAACATATTTAAATATTTGAGTAAGCTTCATAATCAAAATACTCCTGATCTGTTCATTTTCATTGATCCACAATTATTCTATTGCATCATTTCATTTCTCAAAACAATTGTATGTATGGCATACTTATGCAAACAACTGCAAGCTCAAGATAGAAAAGAGAAAGAAATAAGGTAAATCATACATGATTACGTTAAAAACAGACTTTCATCTCTGACACATGCCAAATGGAACGGAGAAAAGAAGGCATCAGACAAGTTTTACAATAAATGAAGAATATTAGATGAACGATAAGACATTTAATTCCTTGCAGAAATGAAGAGAGATATTACCTCCAAATTTCGGATCATTTGCTGCCCAAAAGCATCATTTGGGTGAATCTGTCAAATAAGTGAATGGCATACAAACAAGTGATTACAATAAAAGTTGGCAGAGTAATGAAGCAAAGAAGAAGAAAATTCAAGCAAGAGGTAGAAGAAGCAAGGATGAAAAGGAATTAAGGATTCTGGTACTTTCTCAACCTGCTCATATAAGAAAAATACTGCCGTAGAGAAAGTTTTTGATGCCCAACCAACAATAGCAGGGCTAGAGTCTGGATCTATGTATATCAGAACGCATTCTGCAATTATAAATGTTGGCAAACTGATAATAACATCAGAATGGTGGAGGTTAATCATTATACAAGGATAATCACAAATAAATATGAATCACCATTCTAGAGCATGAACATTGAAAATGAGTGGTTAGTACAAGCTCCCCATACATAGTTGGCAAAGATTATAGATAGTATAACACATTTTAGCTTATTTAAACTAATAATCCATCAGTAACTTGATATGGATTATGGATTGTTCAAGATTTAATCCATAGTTGTAAGCTTTGCCAAATGTGGACTATATAAAAGCTTCATGGAGGTGCATCATTAATCTATAAAAGTTTCAGGGAATTTTGGAGCAATACATAGTAAGGTTTATCAAAGATAAAAAGACAGATACATACCTTGGGTCTAGATTTGCCAAAGTAACAATATCATTTAATTTTTCTATGTCGCGTAAATCAACAGGGAGCAATTTGTAATGATCACCAAGCACCTCTCCCCTCTCTGCACAACTTAGAAGATTAATTAGTCTAACAGTATCACCAGATTCTATTCCAAGTTTGGTGCCTTTTATGCTTCCTTAATAGTAAACAAACACCTGATTTATTTACTAAAAGGCAGCATAATTAGGGATGAAGGCACCTAGGCATTTACACATCTCGTTTACAAAACAAACAAACTTTTGTCAATAAAAGCAGAATATGGAAACCATACATTCTGTTCCAAAGTTAGGCCCAAAAATGAAACCAAGATTAATTTAAAGGTGAAAGATCCATTCCCCAACTAGTGAGATGTAAAACTGGCTAGTGTGAGTATAAATAACAATTTTGGTAAGTTTGCCAAACCAATTCTTTTCAGAGTCAGGAACGAGTCAACTAAACGATATTGACTCTGCATTTGACAGGTCATCAAGAAATAGATACTTGCGAAATCAATTACATGCTTACCTGAATCAGATGAAAAATTTTGCCAGAATCATACATAATCATATAAATCTACTATTTATTTGAAACGACCTCAAGAAATAGATAAATTATTCATGAAATTCAGTAATGGCAATAAATAAGTATGTCAAATTAAATTGAGAGCATGCAAGTGATTTTTGCCACAGGATAAAGTTCTAAGGTTAACTAGGCTTTTTCTTCTCTTTTCATGATAGCTCATGCTGCATATTTGCAAAATAAAATTCTATAAGGTCATAGCAACAAAGAAATGCATTTAAAAAAAAAAACCTGTAACTTGAGCTAAAACCATTTGTTTTTCCAACATATGAATATTCATAGGAAAAATATCATCACATATATTTTACACCATGCAAAAGTATTCAAATTTTGGACATACAAATTCCTGATCCCAAAATGAAAAATAAATAAATAAATAAATAAAATTATGAAGTTTAAAATTGTAGAACAGCTGCTTCACGCTTTTACCTGAAGAAATCGATGCTGTTTCACCAACTTTTTCCTTCAACTGACTGTAGTTTTCAATAAGAGCTGCTTTCTTGCTTGTCACCTAGCAGTCAATTATCCACAGATTAAAGTCTATACCAATGTGGTATTCTGACAAAAAGTAAAAAGAAAATCCCTAATGCAGTAATAAGTGGGATTAGGGATGGCAAAGCACGGCATGGAATACAAAGGAAATTTTTGTCAATTGCAGTGAAACTGTTGCCCAGGCTGAACTTTTGAGCACAAGGGGAATTATTTTTCAATCATTGTTCATGTGTTTGAGTGTTTGACAGTGTCTAGTTTGAAGCCAGTTCAGTTAGTACTTGTTAATGGTTAAAAACATTAAATTGTACAGAGTAACTTTTTAGGTTGATATTATATTTAGACGTATTTTCTTAATTTGATATTTGGGTAACATAAGCAGTAGCACACAATTCCAAAATTGTCAGAATTTGATTGTTTGCAGAACATGAGTTCCATTGCTTCAAGACAGCATATAATGACTATTACATTTATCTTGCCTTTATAACCAAATAATAATAATAATAATTAATAATAATAATAATAATAATAATAAAGAAAATAAAACAAAGGAAATGATAGAAAATGGAAAGAAAAGCAGGAAAAAAATAGTGTGTTGGTCACGCAGCGGAACTTGCAAGCATGCAGTAGGGTTCCCACTGGTGGCCAAAAATGGGATGCATGTGGCTCAGGGATGCAAATTAGGTTTACAGAATTTGAGAAAAGGGCAGAGTGCAATCCATAATGTAGAGTGCTTAATAGATTAGGGAACTTGTTTCTAGTATTCTAGTAGCAATACAATAAAATAACCTCAAGAAACAAATTTTACATGGCTAAGCACATTTTCTCAACCTGCAAAAGGTAGTAAAGAGCTCAAATCTAAAAGTATAGTCATTAAATCAAAGCAAGCCACACCTCTATGAAATCTAGTTCAACATAAAGATGAGGTGCTTTCCCTTCATCCTGCCAAAAGAAAGGAAAGGGTAATTTTAGTCAAATGCATATGCTACAGATTAATAAATAATAGTATGTCATTTTAAATGGGATAAATTGAACCCAAAACACATGGCAATAGGAACTCAAACAACTAGAAAGGGCTCATGGGAAACCAATGCCTTGGGCATTACCTGAAGCAAAGCCTAAAACCTTATTTATGCACCACCATCTATCACCAAAAGCTTAACAATAGCCCTTACAATAACAAGCATCAAGTTTGTGAAACTGCTCTCTCTCTCTCTCTCTCTCTCTCTCTCTCTCTCTCTCTCTCTCTCTCTCTCTCTCTCTCTCTCTTCTAATTGTTTGCAAATCACAAGTTTTATCTATGTTCTATGTCCTGTGTCCCCTAGCTTGACTAGTGGGTATTCATTTAGATGCTACAAGGAATGCATGAGGGACTTGTAATCCTAAAATGCATTTGAATTTCCGACACACGCTGACATATCCTTAAATCATAATGTCAGACTTTGCAGTAGTGGATGTGAAAGATTCAAAGCCAGGAGCAATAGACCTTATGCGCAACATGAAATTATAGCAAGGATCCCAAACTTAAAATCATTATAAGTGAAATCAACCATAGCTCTCGGTGAAGCTTATGCACCTGCAGCTGAAAATACATTGTATCAAAGCCAGCTCCCAGTGATACTATTTGTTTCTTAGTTTTTCCTTCTTCACCAGAATTTGGCTCACAGTCAAGAAACTGATATAGAAGCTTCCTAAGTGCCGCCCATCGAGCAAAATAACCTTATTACTCAACAGTTTCCACAAAAACAAGCGCAAAATCAATGAGCGTGTATTGTAATTAAAAAGCAAATCAAAGATAAACCACTATGTGATCTATGAGCATCTGAAAAGTACGGCCGTACCGCGATTGATTATGGGAGATCGTCTAACTGGCCTTCTAACAAACAAGTGAACATAATCATCTTTGATGTATCCTTTCCTCACGCAAGACCTTCAATTACGCAAATTAGTCGAAAGAAAAACATAAGACTCATCGACAGAAAAAAAAATGAATATAAATGAAAACTTCTATTTCTGAATGCTTTTTGCATAATAAATTTTCTGGTTCGCTTGTTCTACAGCCATTGTGTCTAAGTTAGAAGAAACTGAGAAAGTTGGGGAAAATGAGAAAGGAAGCGTTTTATGTATGAAGATAGTACAGTTTGCTGGCGGATGCATCGTCGTTGGTGGCCTGAACGGCGGCTATGTTGCTGCGGGATTCCGACACCGGCCTCGCCATCCGCCGAGAAGTTTCACGGGAGAGATTTTTCACTTTACGGGGTCACGAGTAGTATTTGTGCGCTTTCGTAGAAATTTGCGCTTCGTCCTCGAACTTGATATAGTCTTCGGTTTTCCCCCATAAAGTTCACACATTCGCATTGGCTTTTAGAAATGTTCCATATTATTTTAGATTATAATTAAAATTTGACTTAATTCCACCATATTTCTTTTGTCTTTGGTGATAATTCTAAATATAGTCTCACACTATCGTTTTTGTCATTTAACATTTCAAATTATTAGTTTTTGAACACTTTTAGTCATTTTCAGGACTTTTCCTATTTTAAGTAAAGACATTTTTGTATGTTCATATATATATATATATATATATATATATATATATATATATATATATATATATATTTCAACCGATCTAATTGGTTTAGAACTTTACTAAATGTTGGTTACTAAAAATCGGAGGTTACCTAAAATTCTAAACCAATTAAATCGGTTGAAATTGAAAAAAATAACAAAAGAAAAATACGATTATATGAATATATAAAAATACTCTTACTAAAATATGAAAAGTTATAAGAATGACTAAAAATGTCCAAAAAATAATAATCTGAGATGTTAAATGGCAAAAACGAGTCTGTGACTAAATTATATGCTACCTCTATTATAATGTAGTATGCCTCCACTAAGACTCAAACCCACACCTCTCTGTGAAGAAACAACTTGGTGCAGTGCCATTAGACTACAAGGTCCTTGGGCAGTAATAGAAATTTTAATATTATTAATATCAATGTATTACGAATTTGAATTTAAATGTAGAATTATAGTACGAATATAAAAGTATGAAAGAATATATTCTATTAGGAATTGTATTACACTAGTTTACAATATTACGTCAACATTAATAGTATAGAATTGCTTTGGGCGGGAAGTTAAAATGGGGGATTTCATTTCTATTAATAGTATAAATATAGATTCCATTACAAAAATTAAAACATTCTCAAACTTATCCAACCGAGTGATCACGTGAGTGTAACACGATTCTCATCGTACTAAAATGTCACATATTTGATTCTTGTCAAAATCATATCAGTCGAACTTGTCAAACAAGGTTTTCTTATTGCGGTTTACCTATTTTGTATGGTTGCATTATTTGTGTGCAATTACAACAACAACAACAACAACAACAAAAAAGGAAGGTATTTACCCAATGTACTCATGCACACACTTACGTATAGTAGTGGTTGAAATATTATGGCCAATTACACAAGAATATGGTTTACTCATCTTGGTGTATCATCGCACACTCTCGTAGTGGCTCGTTGAAATATTCTGACATATTACATAAGAGTAGAGTTTACTTAATGTACTCGTACACTCCGTCAAGTAGTACAATGATATTTTGAGTTAATTATACAAGAGTGAAGTTTACATAGTGCATCCTTATACATCCTTAGTGGCTGAAGTATTCCAGGCTATTACATTAGAGCTAGCGCAAAGGTTATTAATTAGTAAGTGCAACATGAGTCAAAATTATATTATTCTCACATCTCATGTAGGTTAAATTTTGATAGCATGACCATGCTAAATATGAATTAGTAAGTACTCTTGAAGTGGTTAGAATATTAGATGTTGAATGCTTTAAATTGTGTTAATTTTAAAGTATTACTTAAAAGTTATAGAAAAGTAGTGTCATAGAGACAAAATAGCAAGAACTTAAAATGGATCCTATTTTATCTAGCTCCCAAATTAAGAACATCTTATTATTGCAAACAGATTAGATCAGAAGAACAAGAAAATGGCAACTTTATCTTCTCCCACTACTTTCCTTCTCCTACTACTTTCCTTCTCCTTCTTCCCATTCATCATCTATGGCGCCAAGGAGAATACCCTAATCCAAAAGACCTGCAAAATTATCCACGCGTATAATAAGAACTTCATCCACTACGACTTCTGCATCTCCGCCCTGCAGGCGAGGCCGGCCAAGGAATGCGCGACACTGCGCGGCATAGGGATGACGTGCATCAACCTGATCATGAACAACGTGACGGACACGAGGCGCCACATCCGGGGTGTGGTGAACAGCGGGAAGGTGCAGCCCTGGGTGAGGCGGTGCGTGGATGAGTGCTACGATCTCTACGACCGTGCCGTCACTCGAGTGGGGAACGCTTTGATGGATTACAAGCATAAGAAGTACATGGAGGCGGAGGCTGAACTCAGCATGGTCATGGATTCTGTGATGTTATGCGATATGTTGTTCATGAAGGGCCGCAGCCGAGACAAGCCAGCCGGCGGCTGCGGCGGGGAGTCTCGCCGTTTTCGGCGAGGAACAACGACACTGCCCAGTTGTCTGGGATGGTGCTGTCCGTGGTGCGTCTGCTTCTACTGCATTGATCGATCCAGATTGCATTGAATGCGGTGATGGCTTTCATGTGTGCTAGCTAGCTAGGCCATGTTTGGAAATTATGGTGTGGATCATAACAAAAAAAAAATACATTTTTAATATACTAAATGTACATTATTTGTGTATTTAATGTACATTATATAAAAAATGTACTTTTTTCTAAATACAATATACACTATTAATATATTAAAAATACATTATTTTTGTACTAAATGTACATTATATTATTTTATAACATCCAAAATATATGGTCCATACAACTACTTGTGAATTCATATGGTCGGCCAATAGTTGTGACATTTTGGCCCTATTTGGTAGAACAGTTAGTCTATTTAGGTCAATTTTGGCTTATTTGACCACTATTAGCTTTTTGATTTGGTTAAAAAATCAATATAAATGTTTGGTTAATTAGCTTTTTGTAATTTCAAAATGCTAAAATTCAAAAAGGTGCTCAAACAATTTTTTCAATAAGCTTTTTAAGAAAGGAAATTATACCAAACAGCTAACCACTAATTTACCAAACAATTTTCTATAATCAACTAATGTTATCAACTAGTTATACCTTCTAATTAACTCAATCAACCAACAACTAACCGCCATTTACCAAACAGGCCTTTATTTTCTTCTAGAACGAACATGGGTAAATACTAAATACGGAGTGTAGTAATTAAATACAATTCATAATCTAGTATGCATGTGAGACATCTAAATTAAAATATTATGTTAAGTATAGTAACGTCTATCACTCGATCATTAAATCAATAATTCATGATATTAATTACTTAATTAACTATAAGATTAGTCATAAAATAAATATTACTTATGAAACATCACATCTGGATCCTATAAAACCTTCTATATTAAAATTACATAAATATATTATTTTATCATCACAAGATCGTCGGAAATGTGTGATTTGGTATCATTGTATCACATACCTACAGTATATACTTAAGTAGAACATTGGTGAGTTTAAGGTGGACTTTACACCATTTATGGTAAGAATATATTATTTTAGTTTATTATATGTATTATATTTAATTGTTGTTATATATATATATATATATATATATATATATATATATATATATATATATTGTTGACTCTATTACAATGTAATATCTATTCATACATACTTTTTGAGGGTCACAACTATGCCGCTCGACCACAATTATTGAGAATGAGGTTGAGTATTTGGTTGATTGAGTATTGTAGAATGCTTTACCGAATTGATAATGAACATGGTCAATTCTTGAACAACTTTTTGTTGTTTTTATTTGTCTAACTTCTTCAAGTTTATATTTTAAAATCTATAAAACCTCTCTTTTGAAAATACTAAGAGGTGCTAAGTTTATACTAAATTGTATATATTGCAATATGGTGAAGTAAATATGCATGGCTCTTTAGAAATTGGTTGCTGCAAAAATAATTGTTGTAGCATTATGATGCTTAAGTACTTAACAATGAGTGTATATGTTGCACTGTGAAGAGTGATCTTGTTAGGATGATTGCATAATTGTTTACTAAGAAGAAAAAGTAAAACTGAAATCGTATCGTAAAAGGGAACATATAGTGAAGCTAATGAGAATGATGTATTGATGTGTATTATTGTCTCCTATGTGATAGTATTTGTAAATATTTATTAATTCTTTTCATAAATTTTGATAATGTTTCATTGTGTTTTTTTCTTTATTGAAGGAAAATTAAAATTAAAAAATGTAACTACAACTTGTGGATGAACAACTGTGCATCAAGCACTAAAGCATTTCAATAGTTCAATGCACCACTATATACCTCATTTTGTAATTTTGTTATTATTGTCTCTTATTAATGTGTTTGTAATAATTATTATATTAGTAAATTCTTGTACTATTACAAAAGTTGAGTTGTAATTTGTTAAATATATTACGGAGTATTTAATTGCTTTTTATTTAAATTTAAATTTAGAATTTGACATTAGATTTTAATTATTAAAACTAATCTTAATATTTTAAGAGGTATAGCTATTCGAACTCATACCCAGCCCGATCTGAATCATCCGAACCCGAAATAATGTGCTTATATTTCGGTTCAAATTTCGAGTATAAAAATTCTTAATCCAAAAAATTTATATGCCAAAAATTATGATCCGTTCAAATTCGACCATGCCCACCCCTCATGCTTAAGTGGCATTTTGAGACACTAAAAAGATATGCTGAAAGTGCATGTTTTTCTATTAAAGAACAAGAGTTAACAAGAACTTACCTTGGCCGTCTAAGCCAGTGTAAGCACAGTAAGTTGCTTAAACTTCAGAACTTGGTCAGGGACCAATTGAGGAAGGTTTCCAGTAAAACCTGGAAAATCATACAACTGTCAATTAAATTTGACCACATACTTATCACAAGGAGAAGAAAATTAAAATGAATCCAAAATAATCATGCATAAATTTAAATAAATAAATAAAAATTCTGTTATTAAAAAACAAACAATACAAAATAGCAAGAAAATGGATCCTATTTTATCTCCTAGAATACTTACTTCACCCTAGCTACCTATAAATGGCATCACGAGATAGAAGCAAGAACATCTGATCTTAATTCTTACTATTCCAAACCAAACAGAAGAACAAAAAACAAATAAAAATGGCAACTTTATCTTCCATTCTCCTACTACTTTCCTTCTCCCTCTTCCCATTCATCATCCATGGCGCCACCGACAAGGAGAAGCACGCGCACGCCCTGATCCACAAGACCTGCAAAATGAGCACGAAAACCGACCCCGACATCGACTACGCCTTCTGCATCTCCGCCCTGCAGGCGAGGCCGGCGAGGCAATGCAGGACGCTGCGCCGCATAGGGATGACGTGCATCGACCTGATCATGACGAACGCGACGGACACGAGGCGCCACATCCGGGCTCTGGTGAAGGGCGGGAAGGTGAAGCGGCAGTTGAGGCGGTGCGTGAGTGAGTGCTACGATCAATACACGGAGGCCATCCCGCACGTGGGAGAGGCGTTGAAGAGTTACAAGCATAAGAGGTACAGTGACGCCAACGTTAAGCTCTCCGCCGTGTTGGAATACGCGGTGGACTGCGAGGACTTGTTCGTGAAGGAGCGCGACGAAGGCGGCTGCGGCCGCCGGGTCTCGCCGTTTGTGGCCGGTAACTACGCCACTTTCCAGTTGTCTGCCATGGCGCTGTCCGTCATTCATCTGATTCAGGAAGGGAAACTGCATTGATGAGATTATTGGATGTTGGTTTTGGCTATTTCTTTAATTTAATTTGTCCATGTTTGGAACACCATATCAATGAAATCAAGATTTTCGTTTCATACCCGTACAAACTTAGCTCAGTGATTTAGTGTGTAATATTTAGGAGAAGAAACCAATATTCAAACTTCAACGGCCATAATAGAAATTATGTTTAAAGTGGACAGATTCTTTCTTCTACCTCCGTTTCATCAACTCGTATGGGTAACCGTGACATTTTCTTCTGGAACATTGGTAAATACATAAGTATATGCATACAATTCATTCATAAGTATATGCATGTGACACATATAATAAGTTGGATTGGGTAGTGCCACTCGACAACTAAATCAATGATACATGATGTGATCACTTAACTACAAGATTAATCATAGATCATAAAAAATTAGTTATAAAAATTTACTCATGGATTTCGTAACTTTCTATGTTAATATTACATAAAGATGTTACTTTAATAATAAATTTATAGAGTAGTTTGTAGCTTATTAATTCTCCCAAATGAGAGGTCACATAGGGACAAATACTACATCATAATAGAGTCAATATTATTATAAAAAAAAATCATTAGAATATATGATTTGATATTATATATGTTAGTCCCCTCATTGTGAAATTGTAAACAACGTAACTAATGCGCTGGAGTAGGATGGCAAACGGGTGGGGATCAGAATATAAAAGTGTTAGGTCATATTAGTGCAATTTTTAATAATAATAAAATTTTAAATATAAATCCTATTTTCAATATATATATATATATATATATATATATATATATATATATATATATATATATATATATATATATATATATAATTTTTAAATTACAATAATTATTCAGGGATAAAGCAGGACGATTAGGCATATTCCCGTCTCCGTCAGGGCAGGAATTGGAAATCTCAGTTGAGGACGAGGCAAATTGACATCCATGTATTGAAGTACAGTAGTATTAAGTCTAGGTAGCTTAGTGTAATGCTTGGGGCACTTCGCTACAAATTCCTGAGGCTTCCTACATCCTTCTAGACCTATCTTGGACTTTCCCATAGTTTATAGAATTTTATAGAAACATATATATAACACTAATAGTAGTTGTAGAGATGTATAGAATATCATAGAATCCTCTAAAACTTTAGGGTTGGGTACAGATTTAAGGAGAGTTATAGATATTGATTCTTAGCCATAGGGTCTAGTGGATTCCACCATCTATTAAGGAGAGGAAAATGGTATAAATACCCCTCATGAGACTCATTTGTAAACAACCTCTAGAATTCAAGTGTTCAAGTAATCTAAGTTATAAAAAGAAACTTTAAAAACTCCTTTTAAGAAAAATTAACTAGCTTCCTCAAAAAAATAAAAAATTTAACTAGCTAGGAAAGGTTCATTTATCAATGACTCCATAATATATCTTACTAATTATAGTTACACTGGAGTTTAATTAAACATTTATAAATTTCTTAACAACAATGAATAGTACTAATAGGAAGAATAATGTCTACTTCAAATAGGATAGAAAGGCCACGAGATGTTATCGTTACCTTCTAATAGGATAGAAAGCCCACGAGATGTTAGCTTCTAATAAGATAATAGGATAGAAAGGCCATTAGATGTCGTTATTAGGATAGAAAGGCCACGAGATGTTAAGTCAGTATGGGTACAGGTGTGGGTAGCGTAGTTTCTTAAACTTGTACTCCGTATAAAATTAAGCTACTAAATAGCTTGAACAAAGAATCATTATCGACATTTAATATTGCTTATATATTTTACAAATTATTTTTACCCTTTTAACGGTACATATTCAGCTTATACAGCTTATATGACATGCTTTTAATGACATTAACCTCCAATTGGATTCACTCTTGTTGAACTATCAAGTCTTTCAATTGGAAGTTGAAGAGAAGAAAAATTGTACATAATAGTTTCTAACAGTTGAAAATGTAAGTCATGGTTAAGGCCAAACACAAAGTATAAAACATTGTCCATTAATGGCTGCAAAAATATATTGCATGGCAATTGAGGGGAGCAAAAATCTCTGGATGAAAAAAGCGTAGCATGTTGAAAAATGAATGAAGTTTGAAGTTCATAAAACTCTCGTTGAATAGTATGATTATTACATCCACCTAATGGATTTAGCTTATAAGCAAAACAGAAAGGCGCAGACTATACTACTTTTCAAAGAAAATACAACCTGAGCTTAAACTTAACCTGCCATAGGATGATTATAAATATACTCGATTGCAAGTGCACATGAGTCGATCTTATCAGCCTCCTTGTCTGGAATCTCCAGTTTGAACTCTTCCTCTAGAGCCATTACGATCTCCACGTTGTCTAAGCTATCTAAGCCCAGATCTTTCTGAAAATGGACTTCATGAGTCACCTGCAAACAATTTCACAAGAAACACGGATTAGATTTTAAACTATATGAGATATGAATGTATAATTTTTTTTATAATGAACCCTTGATTTCTTTTTTACTGTTTCACGTGAATAAAATCTTGTTTTCATAAATCATGGTGCTCTCTGATGAGCATATAAATGCACTTCAGTCAATGAGTACTTTGCTATTTCAGTTGAAAGTGTTGCCATTCCACTAATGCACTACCTACCCACCCACGTTGTTTATAATAAAAATGTTATCCGCTTGCAGTAACAGTAGGGCAGAATAAATCACAGTGACAGAACAACATAAATTGAATATATTAGTATTCATCAGCAAGAAAAGACTTGGAACTACTACTCCTAGTTGCCAAATTTCACTTAAGCGATAGGGAAACCATCATTACATGGTTACTGTAAAATACTGTGCTGGATTGAAACACATTGATGAAGGATGATTGAGAGGTAGAATTGTAGAACAGATAACCTCAACCCCTCAAGAAAACCTATCTGACCTACATTTGCTTGGAACTTAGATGCTTCAACAATCCAAACAGTCTAATTATTTGTGACAATTAAAAGGATTTTCTGCAATTTCCCTGGATACTGAATTACAGATACAAAAGGGAATAATACACTTCAGTCAGAAAGATCACCAATCACTTCAGTAAGAAAGACCACCAATCAATAATCAGGACATAAAAAACCATGGCCCTTTGCTCAGGTTGTTCAAGAGACCTCCTACAAGTAGTTCAACCCCCGCTCTCCTAATGAACCAAAGAAATAAACAAACACATTAAAAGAAAAATTTCAACTTGGCACAAATGAGAGAAAGACACACTTCCCCTTAGTAACACCCTCAAAATTTAATATCATTCGTTATACCTTCAACTCTACCATTTACTATTAGTATTCCTAACTAGAAATTTATCCACATAGCCACGTAGGGAAGTTATCATCTAACAACTGAAAGATGTCTAAAAATCCTAACTTTCCAAGGTAATTATCTGATACGAAATTTTAAAATCCAATGCTTCCAGTCAAATGCATCTTAATTGATGTTCCATCAATTTAAAATAAAAAGGAATAAGGGTCAAATAGGCCATTGAACTGCACACGATAATTCAATTAGGCCACTAAACCTAAAAAACCAACAATTGGGTCCCTAAACTCACCAATTTCAAACAATTCTTCCAATTTGAAGGTTTTCAACATGTCATCCTTCCAAATTAATTATTTTTAAAAAATAAATTTTAAAAATTAATTATTTCAACTAAAAAAAAAAAAAAAAAAAAAAACAGGAAGGTTTTTTTTTAAAAAAAAATAATAATAATTTAAAAATAATTAATTTTTAAAATTTATTTTTTAAAAAATAATTAATTTGGGAGATGACCTGTTGGAAACCTTCAAATTGGAAGAATTGTTTGAAATTGATTAGTTTAGGGACCTAATTGTTGGTTTTTTAGGTTCAATGGCCTAATTGCATTATCGTATGCAGTTCGATGGCCTATTTGACCCTTATTCCAAATAAAAATAAAAATCAACCTTTATGATAACAAACCTATAACTCAGCTAAGGGCCTAAGAGCACTAAATTAAGTGAGGAAAAAAGACTTGAAAACAATCGCTCTGCATATTACACCCTAACTATTAAGTCACTGATATCTTCAAATGTAGATCATCCATGTGATTGGTCAATAAGCACAAATACGAAAAGGAAACATTCAACATTCTGCTAATCAACTAAAAGTTTAAAAAGAAGTGATGTAATATAACAACATGTTTGGTTCATGGAATATGTCAGGAATGGAATAACATTCCCTAAAGTCTATTCCTTCTATTGCTTACCTATTCCATTCCGTATGGAATACCATTCCTATTTCCTTAAAATTGTAAAAGAATTTCCCATTTACGAATAACACAATAAGCTCCAAAACAAGCCTAATGGATAATGGTTCAACAATGCATATTGCTAAGCTTTCATATCAACAATTGCAATAAACTTCACAAATTTAAACCTAGTACCAAGATATGAATCAGCATTCAAAGATTTTCAGGATTCATAAATAAATTAGCGGTTAGCCAGAGTGTTAGATCTTATCAGAGTTAACAAACAGAGAAAATAAAAGGGGAATGGAAGTTGAGACCTTGGAAGGATCGACTTTAGGGAAGCTCTTGACGACGTCGAGGACTCTTTCAACCACCTCCGACTTGCTGAGGTGGTCGTCGTGCGAAGACATCCATCGGGCGTAGCTCATCATCGATCCCCTCGCCGTCAGGGCTTGAGAAACTGGCAAACGAACGTGACGGAGCACGACCGATCTCAACGCCGACGCCATTTCTGAAATTCTTCTCTCACTCTATCGATACACTTGAGTACTACTGCTTCGGTGCTCGACCCGGCCGAAAACTCAAAAACACATTATAGTTTTAGAATTTTATAATTTCCTATCTTACCCCTGTATTGTTAGACAATTCTAGCATGTCCCCAATTCTTGTCCGCAAATTATGCTGTGCAACCGAATGCACCTTGCAAGGTGCATACGGTTGCAAAACAGCGCCGTTTTGATTAAAAAAACGCGCGTCCCACTTAAAGAAGAAATCAGGTTCGATTCCCGGCAATAGCATTTTTATATATCCAGAAATTCATAACTATATAACCACAATTTCATAACTATATATCCACAATTTCATAACTATATATCCACAGTGAATGAATGAAGTAAAAATCCACAATGAATGAATGAATGAAGTAAAAATCCACAATGAATGAACTAAATATCCACAATATATGATTGAACTAAATATTCACAATGAATGAACTAAATATCCATAAATTCATAACTATATAACCACAATTTCATAACTATATATCCACAATTTCATAACTATATATCCACAGTGAATGAATGAAGTAAAAATCCACAATGAATGAATGAATGAAGTAAAAATCAACAATGAATGAACTAAATATCCACAATATATGATTGAACTAAATATCCACAATGAATGAACTAAATATCCATAAATTCATAACTATATAACCACAATTTCATAACTATATATCCACAATTTCATAACTATATATCCACAATAATGTTATTGCTGAGAGTCGAACCTGATTTTTTTTTTTTTAAGTGGGACGCGGGTTTTTAATCAAAACGACGTCGTTTTGAACCGTATGCACCATGCGCATGGTACATTCGGTTGCACAGCATAACTATTGATTCTTGTCCCAAAAGGCTGAATCCCCAACTCTAAGGGCCCCCACACTCCGACTCGACAGAGCATGTGAGAGGGTGTAAATCACGGTGATTCAATGGTTCAGTAGACAGGGTCAAATGCCGGTGCATATAAAGAATATGCCCACTTTGGACATAATTCTCACACTGCCGCCGCTCATGTCCCCAATTCACCTATCGAACTTATGGCTATTAACAAGGTTTTAGCCCCTCCTATCACGGAAAATTATTGTGTGGACCATGGTCCACACAATGTTATGTGAACCATAACAAAAAATATAGGGTGAAGTGCCAAATAGCACCATAAACCAATAACGAAATGTCATGCCGCACCCCAATCTTACATAAGTGATTATTCAATTTACAAACCAAAAAAAAATTGTTCGCCTAGCCTTTTTTTACAGATTTCCCTGTTGCCTTGGTGACATGGCTCCGATTATAATCTGATGTGGAAAGTGATTTTAATATTTGGCTTATTTATAATGGATTCGTCTTCTCTTCTCCCTATCACTACGTGGTATGATCCGAATTCACGACACTATTTGGTTACTGTGGACCCTCTTATGTGGTCGAAAATCCATGCCACGTCTCTCTCAGTGCTGACTAGCCACCAGCAAACTATAAACTTCAGCATTGAAGCCAGTCATAAGCATTTCATTCAAATCTCTCCAAAATGCCCAAAGCATCACTATATCATACATTGCAGTTGTTCTTAAGCAAATGTTCCAGGAATACCTTATGTATGCGGCCATCATCAAACACTGAACTGCTCAGCTTCTTGTAAAGCTCATACAGTGCCTCGATTTCATTAACCGAAACTGTGTAACATTCAGCATATGTTCCAGAGATGAGACCCTTAAAAGCTCTGATTTCAAATTCATTATTTGAGAATCATACTGAATTATTAGCATATTCAAAGAAAAGGAAGTAGTACAAGGGGAGTTACGAGAGAGGCGAACAAGAAGAAAGCCCTAACCAGAGCGATGAATGGCGTGAACACCGCCGTGCAGAGGTTGAGCAAACTTGATCCTCTCCGTCTCTGCGCCCAAAGAAACCACAATTCTCAAAATGAAATCGCCCAGAAAGCAAAGAATCTCAGGTAAGATAGTATTGAAAATGGGACCTTTTTTTTTTTTTTTTATTTTTTTACCCAGGAAGATGAACTAGAACCGGAACTATTCATTCCCTAGCTGGTATGGTGCAGAAGAACAGTCACACTCAGATGAAGACGGCGAAGAGGAGGACTACCAGTGGGGTTGGGGCGACGTGCGCGTCAAATTTTCGACAAAGTGTGGCGGAAATTCTTTGGATTAGGGCAGATTTCCAGGACCAACCGCACCGACGATGAGGCGAGCCTTCTTATCCTCGAGGGGGGCCCAATGTGCGAATTCGCCATCCCTGGGGCGCAGAACACCACCGTCCTCGTCGTCGGGGCTACCAGCCACGTCGGCTGCATCGTTGTCCGAAAGCTCATTTAAATTAAACTGCTGAAATGGCTGCCACATCTACAAAACAAAACACGTGTCTGGCTAATCACCTTCACATCGCCAAGTTATTACCTATAACTTGAAGGTTACCCGTAAAAAAGGCTAGACGAACGATTTTTTTTTAGTTTGTGAATCGAATAATCACTTATGTAAGATTAGAGTGCGGCATGACATTTCGTTATTAGTTCATGGTGCTATTTGGCACTTCACCCAAAAATATATTTTTAATATACTAAATGTACATTATTTTTGTAATAAATGTACATTATACAATATAATGTACACTCAGAACAAAAATAATGTACATCTCTTGAATACAATGTACATTATTTTTGTACTAAATGTACATTATTTTACAGTAGACAAAATATGGTCCACACAAGTTGTGTAGACCATGATCCACACAGTAATGATTGTCCTATCACATAATAATATGGGGACGGGCTGGGGATCTAGAGGCCTGTCAATCCCAAATAAGTGAAGTTGATAGGTGACAATCATTATTTTATGGACCATGATTATAGTGATGTTAGTGTAGCTCTTAGGACGTTTGTCACAATCGTGCTAACACCATACAACTTGTATAAGCTTCACCGCTATGGCCTCCACGATTGTGCACATGCCTGTGATCATTGCTGCTGGGGAGCATTTCTCCAACAGTGCTTCCAATTATGTCCAAATACTTTCACTTTAGTTCAAAATCCTTCAAAACACTAAAATGCACTCATCATTAGTCCTAATTCATATCTCTTTCATCACATTAATTGAAAATTTTTTGGAGGAGAGACCGCCGATTCATGAAATTAGAGCTAATAGGGCGTTTGATTCACTGTAATTTAGCTGTAGTTAAATTGCAATTCAATGGATGCCTCAATTACATTGTTTGGTTGGAGGGAATTGCAATTCCACAGAATTGCAATTCAATGAATTTGAGAAATGAAAATAGATAAAATGACACTACTACACTGGGTTGTTATTACTATTATTATTACATAAGGGTGTTTTAGTCTTTATACCACTTCTTTCATTCTCAACTCCAATAATTTTATTTCTTCCTACCAAACAACGTAATTTGAATTCTACTTTATTCCCACCCAATTGTAATTCATTTGCCCCTTAATTTTTCTTCCAACCAAACGCCCCGTAAATTCAAGAAGATGGTCGCGATTGGTGGTGCGGCACACATTGGAGTGCTAGGGTGGTGTAGTTTGTGTAGTGGAGTGGTCGACGACGAGACGGATGAGGGTGTCGGAGTGGAAGAGAGGCCGTTAGAGGTCAAGGATGGTGTAGAGGCGGTGGTCGACTGCGAGGGTTTTAGCAGAGGTGAGGAGTAGTAAAATAATTAAAAATTTAATTTTTGATTAATTAAGAAACAACTCAAAACTTTTCAAAAATTTCAATTTATGAAGAATTGATAAAAATAAGCTCTACATCAGATAATACTCGCGCAATGTCATCAAGAATATAGGAAAATCTGTAAAAAATAAAAAATTTAGACGAACAAAGTTTTATGATTTGTACATTGAAACAACATATATGAAAAGTCAGTATGTGGCATGAAAAATCCCTTTTAGTTCATGGTTTGAAATGACAAAGTCCGGATGTGACATGAAAACTCAGTTTTGGCTCTCTTCGTCTCTCACTCCCCGTCCCAGCAAATCGCAATCCAGCCAACAGCTGCGCCATTTCTTTGCGGAGTGCGCTGTCAGTGCCTCCGTGTCACACGCCCTCCATCGCCGGCAGCCAGAATACCAGGTTTATTGAGTTTGTAGTCACTGCCTGTATTTGCTTTGTTTCTTTTCATTGATTTCCAGAATTCCAGTCCCCCACCCACTTGTTTACCCCCCCCCCCCCCTCCTCTCTCTCTCTATTCCTTCAATTTTACTGGCTGACTGATATACATTCCAGTAGTCCTAGTTTCGTGAATATAATGAATTGTTTTTGTGTGATGGATTAACTTTGACAGGAGCATAAAATTGTGATACTTCATAGTTCATACTGTATTAATATGTTTTTGCTTTGAATACAAAAATTGTGATAATTCTGAGAAGGAAGGGTGCCAGTATTTGAGATATTTGGGTGAATCTTAGGCTGATTCGATATTTAAATATATCAGCTTACTAACTAATTAAATAATTTAAATTATATAGTATTATTTTGCACTCCATCCAAAGAATGGGGCAGGGAATCCCTGTCCCCAGAAAATTTCAGTGGGGACGGGGTAATTCCCAATCTCCGCTAGGGAATGGGGCGGGGAATGGTGATTGAATTTGGGGATGGGGACCTATTCCCATCCCTGTCCCGTTGCCATCCCTACTTTTAGCGACCTAGGCCAGCCGCTTCAACCAGCACCACCACCAAGTTATCCGTTGCCACCCCCACACCAGCATTAGCCGATGGACCGGCATAACAACACCTCCGCCAAACTGCCATCAAGAAGATATGCGTGGCGCTTCGCTTCTCCTATTTGTCTGGCTCTCCATAGGTCAGCCTTGCCCTTTTCATCCATTTCCCCTAAAATTTCCCTCTCAAAACCCTTATATATCACCAATAATCTAACTGGTAACAAAGAAGTCTCAAACAATCGAAAAGCTCAGAATAGAACTAGTCTAGTTGATATCTACTATCTAGTCTGATTACTTTGTGATGTTGGAAAGGTGATAAGCATTAAAGTATTTCTAATTTTCTTATGACAGTATGAGGAATGATATATACACGAATGATAGTCCATTGTCCGTTACAAAATAGTCCTTTCCAGCATTCTATGATAGTCTGCTGATGAAGCATGAATCCAATTAAATTCTCCAGGCTGTTGCTGTGAATAACTTGGGGAAGTGGAAAACAGCTACACAGATGGCAGCCTTAACCATTCTACTCGCAAACAGAGACAGCAGGTAAACTGGTCTATTGACTGCTACATTAGCCCGATTGTCTGAAAGAGTTCCTATCTTTTTTTTCTTTCTTTTTTTTTTTTGGAAGAGGAGTTCCTATCTAATTATCCATTCTGCCCCTTTTCTCTTTTACCAGTCTCGTTGATGCTGGAGCTCTAGTGGGCTCTGGTGTAGCTTTGCTATATATTTCAGCATGGCTCGCAGTTTGGTCTCTGTTCGTGTATATGAGAAAGATATGGAAAGTACTGCTGGTATAGGGAACATCTCTGATTTGAGCTGCATCTTGGTTCAAACTTCCAACAGTCACCGGACTCAGCACAGTTCATCAAAACCATTGGACCACAAGTATGGAAACTCATACTCTCCCACTGCTTGTTGCTACATCTGGTGATTGCCCTTTGCTCAAGATTGTATTTTGCACATAATAAAGCTAATATCGAGTAGTAAGTTCAAATTTTAGAGTATTTTCCAAAAACATTAACGCAACATGTGAATTTGATTACTATCAAGCTAGTATCTAGTTCGATCAGTATCCTGAGCTGTAACGATGAATCTTCTAAACTGGATATTTAGTTTTTGCCTCTGATTGGTGTTCTTGATGAACCATGAGTTTACTACTTGTGGAGTTGTGGCATAAATAAAAACTTGAAAGAAGAGAAAGAGCTATGTTTGAACTTATGTGGTGCACAAATGGCAGATATTATATAAAAACTAATGGGTGTGTACAACATCCTTGAAGCAATCTGCAAAATAAATTATATGAAGTAGATAAGGTCCCAAACTTCTGCATGAATCCCAACATATTTGGTCTTGAGTTATCCAGGTAGAAGTAAACTGTAAACATGAAAAAGTTTGATTTTCCAATTCCTCTCCTCATATGGGACAAATAATCTTTGCTTTTTGAGTCAGACTTATGTGAAAGAGATCAGAGGTTGAATATAGGATAGATCAATTTGAAATAAATAAATTGTTACTTGTAATATTTATATATTAAATTGTGATACTCTTTAGGACATTGTTACTAATGATAAATATTGTAATATTTATAACTACTGAGTGTGAGTTCACTCTTGACAATTTGACATTGAAGTAAGAATCAAACACAAAAATGGTGTTTTCTCCCCAACATTAAACCCAAAAATGAAATTTCTCATCTTTGGTTAAAATTTAAATAGGTTTGATGGGTGGCTAATGATACCACTCCTGAGAAGAATAGAATAATAAAATAATAAAAGAAACTATAACAATAAATAGTACGAATAATTTCTAACATCTTTATTTTTGGAAAGTCTTGATCCCGTGGTCAACCCAAGTTTTGCATGCAGTTTATATTATATTATATTTTTCTCCAATAATATACGGAGTAAGTTTTAACTCCAAGTGGGAAGCTATTTCCAATAGGATATCATTATATCAATATCCAATTCAGCGTTTTTCGTTGACTGAAACTGGGTGCAGTCTGCTTCCACGAACACGATGGATACAGACATGGAATGGCGATTATACAAAGCATGCGAGCTTCGCTGCAAATTATATTACCATCCAGTACCAAATAATCTTTTTTTTTTTTTTCTCTATCAAATGGATCCTGCAGCTGCTTCACCCATTGATTATCTTCTAATGGATTCAGCTTTATACGAAGCAGTGGTGGAAGGAAACGAAGATGATGTAGATGAATCTCTTTGGTACAAGATGGAACAACATGGCGGCCGCCAGGTGACGCCAAAGGGTAACACTGTCCTTCATATCGCGGCTCTATATGGTCACTTGCATTTCGTGCAAAAGATTCTGGAAAAGCACAGTTCTTTGTTATGTGTTCCCAACAAGGAAAATGAAACTGCGCTTCACATTGCTGCAAGGGAAGGCCACAGTGGCGTCGTCTCTACGCTCATCAACTGTGCCAAAGCGCGCCCAGAACTCGAATCTGGGATAGGAGCAAGAGATATGGTGAGGATGATGGATGGCGATAAAGACACAGCTTTGCACAAGGCGGTGAGGAAAGGGCATTTGGAAGTTGTTAAATTGCTGGTGAAAGAGGATCCGGAATTTGAGTTTGGTGCCAATGTGGCAGGGGAAACCCCACTTTACCTAGCCGCAGAGCTGCAATTTCATGAGTGTTTGGTCGAAATCTTGAACAATTCCCATAGACCTGTTTTCGATGGACCTCTTGGCCGAACTGCGCTTCATGCAGCAATAATTCATAGGGGGAGCCCAAAAGGTAGAGCCTTTTAATTTGTTGCATACTTTGTGTTAATTAATCATGAAATTAATCTGATAATTGTTTGTTATATATATATATATATATTAGATTCCACAAAGTTATTGTTGGAAAAAGAAGCATCTTTGTGTGAGGTGGGTGACGATTGGGGTTGGACGCCATTGCACTACGCTGTAAGGCTACATAATGAGAAAGCTCTTTATGAGATTCTGCAAGTAAAAAGCAGTGCAGCATACATCCCAGCAGGAGGCAAAGAAGGTGAGTGGACAACTGCAGTTCATATAGCAGTAAGTGAAAACTCTGTGGTATTGTTCAAACAAATATTACAGTGTTGCCCACTCTGTTGGGAGATGGTTGATAGCAAAGGTCGAAATGCCCTTCATGAAGCAATTTTGAACAATAGCACAGACATGATCAACTTTATCTTAAATTCTCCAAAAAGGGATCACCTTGTTGATGAGAAAGACGAGGATGGCAACACTCCTCTACATCTGCTGGCTGCTTCCAACATCTGTGTGCCGCCAGAACTGATCCAACATCCTAGGTTAAGTGGCGGCATGGTTTTTAACAAACAACACTTGACTCCATTGGACATTGCATCTCAGCTGGGATCTGGTTCAGTTGGCAAGCGTGGTGACCTAACAATGAAAACAAAGAGGAACGACGAAACCAGGATGGAAATGGAAATGAGAGATCCTAAGGAAAGGTCTGTTAGTAGTGCGGGGAAGATGGCTAAGGCACACATTGTAGTGGTGGCTCTAATAGTCACAGTGACCTTTGCAGCCGGGATGACAGTGCCAGGAGGATACAATGACAATCAGGGTGAGAGGCAAGGGATGCCAATTCTATTAAGAAAATCAGCTTTCAAAGCATTTGTTGTTACTAATGCTATTGGCTTTGTGTGCTCCGTATCTTCACTGATTGGATACATCACGTTGGTTGAAGAAATTTCGAGTTTTGGGAGACCAAAAGTTGTACACAAGCTTGTTTCCTACTCGATTCTTTTGCTTGATTTATCCTTGACAGCACTGATACTTGCATTCATAACGGGGATGTTTGCAGTTTTAACAGTACATTCATCTGCTGTTGCAGTGGGAGTATGCATTGGCGTCTGCATATGTATCATTGGCATCATCAGTTTCCTCCTCTTCTCTGGGTACAATGAACACTGGTGGATTGTAAGAAAATATGAAGAAATTATTCAACTTTTCAACAAACTTGGGTAGCTTTAGAGATTGGTAATTTGGGATTAATCATTTATGGATTTTCTTTGATGTCCTTTAATTTTGTCCATCTTTGCTTCAAAAGTATATTCCTTTCTTTTCTTTTCCCTGCATATATGCTTCCCTTGACCTTGTAAATGCAGGCAAGTATATTTTAGAGTGTATGTTTGCAGACTTTTGTATATATAAGATCAGAGAATTGAAGTCCATTTGTTTAATTTGGTACGGTGCTTATTATTTTATATGTTTTCTTGAGAGCTGAGCAGCACGTACTACCAATTGAATTAAGTATTGGATTAAATGGATCCAGGTATGTATAAAGCGGCAGTGAAAGGAAACACTGAAGATTGGGTTATTGTTCAGCAAAAGGCATCTGAGTTTAAGAGCAATGTGACCCCAAAGGGAAACACTGTTTTGCACATTGCAGCCCGCTATGGTCACACCCATCTGGTGCACAAGATTTTGGAAGTATGTGATGATGCCTTGTTGTTGTTGTGTGCCCAGAACAAGAAAAACGAAACCGCCCTTCACATTGCTGCTAAAGAAGGCCACACCCATGTAGTCTCTGCGCTCATCTGCTATGCCAAAAAACGGCCAGAGCTTGAATCAGGGATTGGAGTGAGGGGGAGGCTGAGAATGAGTAACAGTGATGGCGACACCGCTTTGCACATGGCTGTGCGGGGAGGCCATCGTGTTGTGGTCAAACAGTTGGCAAAAGAGGACGATGAATTTGAATTCCCCGGCAACAAGATGGGAGAGACGCCGCTTTACCTAGCAGCCATGCTCAGCTTTCATGATTGTTTGTCAGATATGTTGAACAGTAGCAGGAAGCCTGCTTATGGGGGACCTCTTGGCCGCACGGCTCTTCACGCAGCAGTAATTTCTAAATCAACAGGTATATCATATATCAACAGTAATTTTTGCTTTAATTGTAACAGAATTAGCAGTACTAAAAAAAAATATAACTTTGATCTGCAGATTGCGTGAAAGCATTGTTAGCAAAGGAGAGTGGTTTAGGTGAGGTGGGTGATATATATGGTTGGACACCGCTACATTATGCTGCAAAATTTAGTGATGATGAGGGAATAATTGTGGGTGAGATTGTTGGGGTAAAGAGTTCCCTTGCATACCTCCCAGCACCTTGCAAAGACGGTGGTGGGTGGACAACAGCATTTCACATTGCTGCAAGTGGAGGTGGTGCTGGTGGCATTAAAGCAATGGAAGCCATATTGAAGCAGTGCCCGGACGCCTGGGAGATGGTAGATAGCAAAGGCCGAAACGTCCTCCATGAAGCCGTTGCCAATGACAGAAAAGATGTCACCGATTATATCCTCCAAAACCATCACCATCATCATCCCAATTTGGATCACCTCATTGACGAGAAAGATGATGACGGCAACACACCTCTACACTATGCTGCTGCTACTAATAATTATTATGAGCGGTGGTATGGGCTAGGGTTCTATTTGCATCCCAGAGCAGAGCTATTATTCAGGTTGGGGTTTAGTAAACTTCTCGCCACTCCATGGGAGGAGGAAAGTATGTGTAGTGTTATTAAAAATGGCAGCCGTGGTGTAGTGAACCAGCAACAAAAGAAAGCTGCTAATGCAATTATTGGTGGTATGACGAAGTCAGCTAAATCAGAAATAATAGTGGCGGCTTTGATAGCAACCGTAACCTTTGCAGCTGCTTTTACAGTGCCAGGTGGCTACGATGATGACGGTCCAGGATCAGGGATGGCAGTTCTAAGAAGAAAAGCAGGTTTTTGGGCTTTTGTTATTGCGGATACGGTTGCATTTGTATGCGCTTTTGCTGCACTATGTGGATACATACTATTGCTGCAAGCAAGCGCATTAGGGTGGTGGAGACAGATACCCATTTCTATGCTGATATATTATCACTACTCGGTGCTTATGCATAATGTGTGCGGGGCGGCCGTCGTAGTGGCGTTCGTCAGTGGGCTCTACACTGTTTTAGTACCTTCAACCACCCTCAAATCGGTTGGCGTCTGTGTTTGTATTTGTGTCTGCATCTTTTGCATCATTGGCTATACCCGCTTCTTTACCTTTATCGACCGCCTCATTACATGGATATTGCAACGGAAAAAGATCGGCGGAGAAATTGGTGTTAGATCTGAATATAGCCTAATGTTACTAAATAGAATCTATGAGAAATCTAATCTTGTAGTAGAGAAAGAAACAAGGTAGATCTCCAGCTTTGACTAGTGATAATATTATCTGATGGTAAAAAAGTGTTTATCTATTTACTTTTACTCGTCTTTTAGTTAATTAGTGCAGTGGTGTTTGGTAATGGGTTGTTAGCTGATATAAAATGATGTATAAATGCATGCTGGTAGGGAATATCCCGACCGACATAGCTTCACCACGACCAAGGAGCCTTTGTCTCTTTTTCCTTGTCTTTGCAGGCAACAGGTCGGGATCCTCGAGAAGAACCCGGTCGTATACCGACCGGGAGTTGCCCGAGCGACGGTGTCGACCACCGAGCGGTAGCCCTTTGGCGAAAGAGTTGACGAAGGACACGTGGCGGCTCTTTACATCGACAGGCAGGGCACCCGGGAGGATGACACGTGGTGGCTACGTGGAGGACATGCCGAACGGCTGGAATCTTGTCCCCGGCATAGCGGCTATAAATATCCACAGTAGCTACAGTGGAAGGGACTTTTGGACGATCGATAGGTTGTTGTTAGAGAATCCCGACCGCAGTCAGTCGGTACTCAGAGCAACCAAGTAGATTGTACTTAGGGCCTTTACCGTGATCAATAAAGATATTTACTTGCTTTGATTGGTCTCGTGTTGTTATATATCGCTTACGTAGAATTAGCAGTATCATTTTGGCGCCGTCTGTGGGGAACCGTGCAAGAAACCAACGTCTTGACGAGCACCCGATCACCATATCGACATGTATCCGTGGGCACACAACAACTTTGCTGACGACCAGGCGGATGCGGCGAGCTCCTCCGACCACTATGCTACCCAACAGCAGGGTCAGACGATGGACCTCAACCTCAACCTCTCGCCACCGCATCCGTCAAATACATACCCGGCCGCCCAGCAGCCGGTGAATTACATACAACCAGGATACCCAACACCCGGTCTGCCATACCAACAGCAGCCGATGATGTATCCCGCCCAGTATCCGTACCCGGTCCCACCTCCACCGTATGGGTACTGGCCAGGCCAACCAATGTGCTACACTTCCCCGGTCGGTTATCCACCGTATACGCCAGCTTATGCAGCTCCAGCCGCCGCCCCTCCAGTACAACCGGCCGCCCAAGTAGAGCCGCAGCGTCAGTCCGTGTCCCGGGCTCGACGCTCGGCTCATTCGCGGTTGGGGTCGGGGGTGCTGATGCGATGGAGGCACCAGCTCAGGCCGTTCAAGCGGAGGACCCTGAAGAAGTTGCCCGAGCGGTAGCTTTTGATCGTCTTCGACCAGAGATGCGCCAGCGTTTGGGACCCCAGGACCCGAACCGCGGGCAAGAAGACGTACAAATGCAGGAAGCTAGCCACGAGGCTTCATCTGGGTATAGCGGGTCGAGATCTCACCGACGGCGACGCGCTCGGGATACAGCCCAAGCCGCTCAAGCCGCCGAGCTCAACGAAACCCGAGGATTACTCTATAACCTTCAGGCGGAAGTAGCGCAGCTCAGGAGTGCGTACCCTGGAACGCCCCCGGTCAACCAATCAACCTTGCACCAGACGCCTTTCACAGCAGCGGTAATGGCCCAGCCTTACCCGCTCGACTTAAAGGTCTCTGGAGAGAAGAGTTATGACGGACGGGCAGATCCTGAGGCCCACGTGAATGATTTTTTCAGCAACATGATGCTGAAGGGCGTTTTGGACGCCGTGATGTGCAGAGCCTTTTACTCGACCCTCACCGGTCGGGCAGCAGAGTGGTTCCGTACCCTGCCACCGGGGTCGATCGACAAATTTGAGACCCTGGCGATCAAATTTGTGAGGAAGTTCATCACTTCCAAAGTGGTGAGGAAGTCCTACATGTATCTCGAGAAGGCCAAGCAGCTGGAAGGGGAGAGCTTGACCGATTTCCTCATCAAATGGAAAGCGGCGGTCGGGGAGGTCGAGCCTATGGACGATGCGACCGCCACCCACATGCTTCACATATCTCTCCGGGCGGGACATTTGTATCAGGACTTCATCCTACACCCCCCGACCACTTACGAGGAGGCCCTTCGGAGGGTCACAGACTATGCCAACGCCGGCGAGGCGAATGCCGTCAAGCGTTTGCAGGAGGTCGGCTCTTCGTCCCGTAAACCGGCCGGGCGGGCGGAACATAGGTCGGGAGATGACAACCCCCGATCCCGCACCAGGCCTGGAGAATTTACGGCCTTGAACCGGTCCGCAGCGGAGGCCATGCAATACGCCCAGTCCTGCAATCTCATCAAGCTCCCCCATCCCGATCGAGACGGCCCTGACAAGAGTAAGCACTGTGCTTACCATCGATGTGCTGGGCATGACACGGAGGAGTGTACCCACTTGCGCCAATTTTTGGAAGATCTGCTTAACAAGGGAAAATTGGACAAGTGTGTGGGGAAGAGAGAGGAAAACAAAAGGAACACCGATCGGAGGGATCATAGACGTTCCCATCACCGCTCTGATCGATCTGGGCAAGACAGAAGGGATGATCGTCATGATGACCGACGGGACCCCGACCCTCCGTCCGGTAGCCGCCCGTCGTCCGGAAAGCCAACCATCCACGTCATTTTCGGTGGGCTGGAAGATGCTTCCCGACCGCGGGCTAATTGCCCGGTCGCAATAGTAGATTCCCGCGGAACTGGGAAGAGGCAGAAGATGGAACCCATAACCTTCACCCTTGAGGACCAACCTACCAGCAGCGATCACGGAATGGAGGCGCTCGTGGTCACGATTGACGTTAAGGGGAAAGACGTCCAGAGGGTTATGGTTGACACGGGCAGCAGTGTGAACGTCCTATACTTGGACGTGTTTGAAAAGCTTGGCCTCGACAGGAAGGAGCTGACTCCGGTCGGTGTACCACTGTCAGGGTTTACCGGGGCTCTTATCTACCCCGAGGGAAAAGTAACGCTCCCGGTCGAGATCGGCACGCCTCCAAAGTCGATCCAAACGGAGCTGGAATTTGTTGTGGTCAACCTCCATTGCGTCCACAACATTATCTTGGGCCGACCCGCCATTATGAAGATCGGTGGGATAATTTCTATGCCCCACCTGTGCATGAAATTCCCCACCCCCAACGGGGTCGGCGTGGTCCGTGGCGATGTCCAGTCCGCCCGGAAGTGTTACACCCGAGCGGTCAATAGACGTGACTCCGGTCCATCTTCCCGGGTGAACACCATAGCCAAAGAGGAGGCTAAGGAACGGAAGGAGCAGCCTGAACCTTCCGAAGAAATTGAAGAAGTTCCCCTGTCCGAGGACCGCCCGGACAGGAAGATAAAGATCGGACGAGCCCTCACCCCCGAGATTCGAGCGGAAGTTCTGGCCGTGCTCCGGGAGTATGCCGATATCTTTGCATGGGGGCCTGAAGATATGTCCGGGATCGATCGGTCGGTCATTTGTCACAAATTGGCCGTCGATCCCGCAGCTAAGCCGGTCGTGCAGAAAACACGACACCTCTCTTCCGATCGCCGCGAGTTTGTAAGGGAAGAAGTCAAAGAGATGGCGGCGATCGAGCACATCCGTCCGGTGGTCTATCCTGAGTGGGTGGCAAATATCATTCTTGTTCCTAAGCCCCCAGCATGGAGGATGTGCATCGACTTCACGGACCTCAACAAAGCATGTCCGCTCGACCCGTATCCTCTACCGAGCATTCATCAGATGGTCGACGAGACGGCCGGGGCCGAGTTAATGAGCTTCATGGATGCCTTTAAGGGATACCATCAGATTATGATGCACCATGAAGACGAGAGCAAGACAGCCTTCGTGACACCGGATGGGCTGTATTGTTACCGAGTGATGCCGTTCGGCCTCCGAAATGCAGGAGCGACCTACCAAAGGATGGTCAACATGCTCTTTGCCGATCTACTGGGCCGAACGATGAAAGCTTACATCGACGACATGCTGGTCAAGAGTCGGGACCGATCCGATCACACTCGGAACCTTCGGGAGTGCTTCCAGATCATGAGGAAGTACCAGTTGCAACTGAACCTGACCAAGTGCACATTCGCGGTTCAGACCGGCAAGTTCCTCGGCTATATGATGACCAAGAGAGGAATCGAGCCTAACCCGGCCAAAGTAAAAGCGATTCTGGACATGCAGCCACCTTCCACCGTTCGGGAAGTCCAGCAATTGACCGGTCGGTTGGCAGCCCTCAGCCGGTTCCTCTCCAAGCTAGCCGAGCGCGCTTTACCTTTCTTTAAGGTATTGCGGAAGGTTAATGGATTCGTCTGGGACGAAGAATGCCGAGCGGCTTTTGACGAGCTGAAGGAGTATCTCATGTCACCAATCGTGCTCTCAAAGCCCGAGTTCGGAGAAGAGCTAGACGTGTACCTCGCCGTGTCCGATCGCGCAGTAAGCGCAGTGTTGTGCCGAACCGATCCGGAAGGGGTCCAGCGACTGGTGTACTATGTAAGCCACGCGCTACATGGTCCCGAGCTCCGGTACTCCCGGCTAGAGAAGGTCGTCTATGCCTTATACATTGCCGCGAAGAAGTTGGCTCCCTACTTTCAAGGTCGAGCAATTCGCGTGTTGACCGATCAGCCGATCGGGCCAGTCCTCCGAACTGCTTCATCATCAGGCCGCCTAGTCAAATGGGCGTTAATGTTGACCCAGTACGCGATCGAATACCGACCAAGACCGGCTATTAAAGGTCAGGCTCTTGCGGACTTCTTGGTTGAGTGCACCGCCCGGGATACCCGGCCTCCTGAGGTTGCGGATCCCGAGGCTGAGTGGTGGTCGCTGGCTACAGATGGGTCAAGTAGCAAAAAAGGGGCAGGAGGAGGAGTGGTGGTCACGAGCCCGGAAGGATTCAAGGTCTATTTTGCTCTTATGTACCAGTTCCACCCGACCAACAACGAAGCCGAGTACGAAGCATTCGTTAATGGCTTGCAGTGCGCTCGGGATTTGGGGGCTGAATACATCCGAGCTCAGACGGACTCCGCGCTCGTGGTCGGGCAAGTTCTCGGGGATTATGAGATCAATGGAGAACGTCTGCAGCTTTACCGAGATCTTGCCATGGAGAAGCTTGCTCAGTTCCGGGGGTATACCGTCCGACACATACCCCGATTGGATAACGCCGATGCAGATATCTTATCCAAATTAGCTCAAGACGCCCCGGAACACATGTCGAAGATAGCTCGGATC